AGTCCAGAGCCTTGGATGGTGGCAGCGGGACCCCCAGGCTAGCGGGTGTGCTCCGGGGAAGGGGTCGGCCAGACGGGAGGCACCCCAAGGGAGGCACTCGGAGCCTAGAAGGTGGTCGGGCGCAGGGAGGTGGGCGGCTCAATGCAGGAGCACCCCCTACTGGCCCGCCACAGGAACATCTAGGACCCAGGAAAATAGCAGCTTCCCCCAGGCTTCATAAGACATCCTTTGATGTCTTGTACTCACAGGACTCGTGTTCTGTTTCTTGCGGTTCTGTGTGCATGCCAGGGTTCACAACATGCCAGGCAGAAGCTGCATTATGCTTCTCGTGTCCAACATCCATGGTCTGAGGTGCCTTGAGAGCAGGGTGTGTGTGCCAGGTGGTGCAGGTGTGTCCCCTGTGGGGAGCAGGGTGTGGGTTGGGCCCAGGAAGGCTCTGCTGGGAAAGCAGGTGTGTGTGTGTTTTGTGGGGTAAACCGAGATGAAAGAAGTGGGGAGTGGAGCAAGCCGTTTAATCGAAGGGCTCTGGAAATTGCAGCCCCACTTCCAGTGGGGAGTTGTGTGGCGGGCCAGTAGGGGGCACTTCTGCCTTGAGCTGCCCACCTCCCTGCACCCGCCCACCTTCCAGGCTCCGAGTGTTGCCCTGGGGTGCCTCCCGTCTGGCCAACCCCTTCCCTAGAGCACACCCACTAACCTGGGGTTCCCGCTGCCACCATCCAAGGCTCTGGACTCACTTCTGGCTCTGCGCACCTTGGAAAACACAGGCCTGATCGTCCAATGGGTGCTAGACCCAGTACAAGCACTTGGGGCACTTCCCCAAGTCAGGGGCTGATTAGGGAAGCCTCCCTTAGTCCACCGACCTAAGGGGCCTCCTTGGCATAATTTAGACCCACCCCTCAATAAGTCTCCCACAGCGGTCACAAAGGAGAACTTTATTGATTGCAGGGGGTAGGGCGGAAACAGGGTAAAAGGTAGAGCAGTATCATAGGAATCCCATAGAGCAAACCTGTGGGGCTGAGGTAGCTTTTTGATCTCACAACTGAGTTACTGTAAGCTAAATATCTAGTCGGATCTCGAGTAGCTTACTCGCGTGCATCACCCGGAGGTGGGTGGTTGGAGTTTTCCTCTGGAGGCAGGGCACTCGTGGAGTGTGCGGTGATGAGGAGAGAGCCAGTTTCAGATGGTGAAGCTCTTCTCCCAGGTTCAGATTCACCTCAATGACCGCATGGCTAATGGCTGCCTTCTTCCTGGCCCAGGCCTTTAAATAACCTTTCTGACCTCAGCAGCCTGGTCCAATCGAAGCTGCCAGTGCTGGCTACTAGTCAACCAATTTAAAAGGTATCACGGGTCAACTGGGCCAGTGACTGGGGCTTTTCCCTCCCCCTCCCCAGGTGAAAAGAGAATCCACATCTGAGGCACCAGGCTTTGTCATGTGGGCAGGGAAGGGGATTTTCCTCCCTGAGGGATTCAACAGCAGCCTCTCACGCTGGCAGAGACAGATCTCTGGAGAGGGACACAGACGGTGGCATTTCTGCCACAAGTTGATGCTTGGGTTTCCTTGGCCAGCAGTGACAGTGGAGCTGTGTGGAGCCAGGCTCTGGACAGCAGTGGGTGATGTGGCCAAGGCAAATCCAGTTCAAACCTCTGCCTTTGCCCCACATACTGAGGTGGGTGCACTCCTCTCTTCCCAGACTGGTGATGCCTGTGGAGCTGCTGCCCTCCTGTGACATGCACTGAAAAGGACCTGCCTGGGCTTTCTTGGGAGCTGACCCTGGGGATGGGTGGCTTTTGTTGAAGCTTTTGGAGTTGAGGAGTCTTGTGGGTGGGGTCTGTTCACCCCTGTGCCCTGCAGCCCCTCCTGCCTCTGTGCAGGGCTGTGCTGTGCAGGGTGGCTGCCCCCTCCTGGCATCTGAGAAGGGAGGATCTGAGCTGGGATTTTGTATTCCCACGAATAGAGTTTGAGTCACTGTGTCTGTGGAACAGTAATACAGGGCTGTGTCCTCGGGTTTCAGACTGCTCATCTGCAGGTACAGCAGGTTCTGGGAGTTGTCTTTGGAGATGGTGAATTGTCCCCGAACAGCCGGGGAGTATCTCTGGTTGGATCCATCAGGGCTGATTTCAGCTACCCAGTCTAGTCCCTTCCCAGGGGTCTGGCGGACCCAGTTCATGTATGAGCTGCTTAAAGTGAACCCGGAGGCATTGCAGGAGAGGCGCAGAGAACCTCCAGGCTTCTTCGCATCCCCTCCAGACTCCACCAGCTGCACTTGGGACCAGGCACCTAAAACCAAAGGTAGGATCCAAGAGCAACTAGCATCAGGACAGCATCAGTGCAGCACTCCCCTCCCTCTCCTTGCCACCTGGGAGGATGAAATACCTTGCAGAGCTGCTGCCAGGACAAGGATGTGGAACCCAAATCCCATCTTCCCTGGTGCTGGGGAAAGCTCTTGGGTGTTGGCCATCACCACCTAGATCTGAGGTCTATGGGTTGCCTGGGCAGCAGGACAGAGTGATTTATAACGGGCAGCCTGTCCCTGATTTGCATGTCCCCTGCCTTATACCACCCTGCTGCCTTCCCCTGCAATGGGGATCAGTTGTGCTGGGCACAGACAGTGGGTGCTGGACTCTCCCATCCTGCATGTCTGGACACCTCCCATGCAAGGCTCTGGGCCTTATTTAACCTTTGCTTGAGGGACCTGTCCCCACCAGGCCATACTCGTCTGGTGCCCCTGGGCAGAGATTCACATGTGGGCTGCCCTGGGGGGCTAAGAGCTGACAGCATTTGGCTCCTGCTTCAAATGGGGTTTTGTGTGAAGGAGACATATCCCTGTGAGGAACAGCAGGGAGCTTAGCAAGGGGCAGGGATTGCTGAGGCTGCCCAAGGGTTTCAGACACCCAGAATGCATCGGGTGCTGGGGAATCGTGCCTGTGTGTTATCCTGTGTGCCTGCCTGCCTGCCTGCCTCCCAGCATGTGGATGTGCACTTGTCTGGGATATGAGAAGGGCTGGGGCAATCCTTTTCATGGCAGGTTCTCGCAGGGAGGCGGGTGAGGAACTGTGCCTGCTATAAAGCAGCATGCAGGGGTGAGACATAATGCACCTCATCGACAGAAAGCTTCCACCTGGAATGAAATAAGGTATAGGATGGATGGGCCTCAGAACATCCAATGCAGTAATGCAGTGCCCATCCCTCCTGGAAACACCTGTCCTCACTGCGACAAGACATGTGGATCTAGAATTGGGCTATGGAGCCACCTGCAGACTCACTATTAAGATTCTTGGAAGACAATCTTACTTGTTCACGAGTGATTTCGCATCATATCTCCATCTGCATCTCTCCTTCTTTCTCCCTGGAAGAGAACTCCTACCTCTCTTTCCATCTTTTTGTTGGTCGCTTTTTAGTTCTATATTAAATTTCCAGCTCCAGACTTTATAGCAAACCAAAGCTGAATCTGCCCTCCTGCATGCAAGGCTGGAACTGATGCTTCTTGGAACCAGGAGGATGGAAATCCCTCAGCAGGACCCGAGGCAGCGAAAGGGCCAGAATCCCCATGAAGGTAAGAAGGAGCCAGTCTCAGGAGTTTTTCTGTGATGTAGGAGCTGTTCCCCAAAACTTCTGCTGGGACCACGTAGCTTGTTGCACAGAGCGTTAGAGGGAAATGGTCAGTAATTGGTGGTGGCAGGGGAGTTTATTGGCTGTCCTTTCTTTCACAGTCCTGTTTTCCCCAGAAGTTTCTGCCTTCCGATGGTGTCAAGGAGTGAACAATATTTGAGCTCCCATAGACAGTCCAGAGCTTCCTGATGGAGCCAGGCCTCTGTTGGCATGCCCCAGCCTCACACCGAGCATTGAGATTCACCATGGGCTGTTTCTCCTCCCTAAAAGGGTTTGCTTTGTCTTGGCACTGAATTTTTGTCCTCTGTCCTACTTCCTCTGGAACTTCTCATGCCATCTCCACCTCTTCCACCATGGTTTCATGATCACCCTTCCTAGTGCTGTCACTTTCCTACAGTCGGGTGTTTGTTCATAGTATCACCCAGGATGTTCATTTTCCTACAAACTAGTGATGGCAGCTGGTCCCTCTGGGAGAAGCTGGCTGCGCTATATCCTGTAAGAGACCCCAGGTGTCCACTCTCTCCTTCCTGGACAGTTCATCTTGAGAAGTGTTGGACTTATCTACCTGCTCGCCTGACAGCTCACCATTGCAGGGAAACAAAGTTCTGAGATAAAAGGATGTGCGTGTTTTGAAATCTAAATCCCTTGGATTCCCTGGAACTGGGGCTCTTGGGTCAGTCAAAGGCTAAAGGAAGAAAGGGCCCATGGCCTTTTACACTGGGTGAGTGTTTATGGGAATCACCAAGGGCCCTGGTGTCATCAGGAGACCCAAAGTCTTTGGAAGAGGGTATATGACTTACTCTAGATGCTGTTTGTTTCATTGTGCAGAGAGCACAGTGTAGCGAGTACAGTAATACATAGCTGTGTCACTGGCCCCCAGGCTGCTCAGCTGCAGATAGGCTGTGCTGATGGAGGTGTCTATGGTGATGGTTAGTCGGCCCTTGAAGGCCTCGGCATAGGCGGTAGCACCACTATTGGCATTGAGCCGTCCTATGTACTCCAGTCCTTTCCCAGGGGCTTGACGAACCCAGTTGATGCCATAGCTGGTGAATGTGTAGCCAGAGGCTTTACATGTCAGCCTCACTGCCTCCCCAGGCTTCTTGACTTCTGCCCCAGCCTGGGTCAGCTGGATCTGGGAGCTGACTTCTGCAGAGAAAGAATTGAGTCCTATTCATATCTTTCTTTTAAAAATCTTTCCCCTAATCACATCCAGTTCCATCATTTTGCACTCTCCTGGAAGTATCTGAACTCCTTGTCCTTATTAATCCTTTCATCTGCATAGCCATTGTGTGAGGGAGGGCCACAACCTCAGCCCATTTTCCTCCAAGCAAATGAGATACTCAATGTTCCTAAAGGATTTGAGGGCTCTGTAATGCTGATGACAGTTGAAATAGAGAGCCCCCTAGATGGGGATTAAATCCCAGAATTCCTGCATCCCAGGCCTGAGCACAGATCCTGACACCCTCCTTCCTCTACCCAGGGACCTGCATTTACCAGGGGCCTCTGCATCCCCTGCACTCACCTGAGCAAACTGTCAGGAAGATGAGCACACCTAGAACTGCCATGTCACTTGCCCTCAGTACCCTTGCAGGATATACGTACATAGCGGTTTGTGCTTTTGGCTGGCTTGCCTTTTGAGTCCAGATTTCTCTTTCATTAGGGAGTTCCCTGACTCATTTGCATGCTGACGCTGCTAAACCATTTGCATGCTGTTTACATGCACCAGGACTTGCCCATAAATGTTGCCAGAGTGTGGAGGGACAGAGACAGGTTCACTGCAGTCATTGTTGGGCCCCAATTCAGGAGAGCCCTCTCAGCAGGGTGACTTTAAGGACAGCAGACTGCCACCTAGGATTGGTGCAATAGTGCATTGAGTTGTGTAATACTGGGGTGTGAGATCGTAAAAGCTCAGGGTTATGAATGGAGGTGTGAGGACATAAAATCTCCCACTCAGGCATTGAAAGTTGTCTTCACAGGCAAGATCTGTAGGTGAGCCTGGCTGTCCAAAACCATAGCTGGGGTTTGGATACAGAGGTGCCACTCTCTGAAAAGGGATTTGGGTTTCCAAGTCCCCGCTTTGTAAATTCCACCTCTCAGCAGCTGGAGATAATGATCCCCTCGGCTCTGGTCCTAATTTCTGACACATCCCCATGGTAAATGCACAAGCTTGCTGCCACCATGTGGCTGTGATCATCTGCTAAGAACAGAAGGGGAAAAAACAATCTTTAGGTGTTTTCTTCCTTTTCACTGCAAATAGGATGAGCTGAAGGAAGAATATAGGGTGACCAGGGCTTTTCCTTAACATTTCCGGACTAGACTCCATGTGCAACACTAGTGAAAGTCCTTCCTTCCCACTCCAGTCCCTTTCCAGGAGTCTGTTTAAGCCAGTATGTAGCCAGATACTGAAAGAAAATCTGCACACTGCTTCTACGCTGCTCCAAGAAGCACTGTGAATCCCACGCCCTGTCTGCCTGACCTTTTTTTTTTTTGTAGAGCTGGGGGAATATCCATAGGTAGTTTCTTGATGTGATTTGCATCAGGACAGTCCAAAAACTCTCAGTAGCATTGAAGTCTTCAGGACTCTCATTTAAACAGTGCTGGCCTTACCTATTATTCAGCCTTTTAGATGGGCCATTCGTGATAAAGAACAACCTAGATTTGTAAATACCCACAACAGATGCCATTGGGCCCATGGGATAAAGCACCTCTGCCCATGAGCTGCATGGTCACTGGTTTAGTTTAGGAGCAGAATCTCATGGGCACTGCCCATCCTGCCCCTCCATGCCATGTGTGTAGCATGCCTGGGATGGGAACTCTTGGTATCTGAATTTCTGGGCTGACTGTAGGGAACATCCCTTTGAGACACAGACCTGGGGTGAGGAGGGAGGAGAGAAACAGCCATAGTGAAGTCATTGTGTGCTGAAACAGGCAGTGTCTCCCCAGAGCTGCCAGTGTCTCCCCGCAGCTGGTGCCAGAGCCCTGCAGGAGCAGGCATTTAACCACGGAGTCCGGGCCTTGGATTTGCATCAGTGCTGCCCTGGGGAACAGAGTCTTGCCCAGGGCTGCCCAGAAGGCCAGTCCCTCCTGCCTCTGCCTTCCCTCCATACTGCGTCCCACGCTGCTTCGCAACCAGCCCTCTCTCTCTCTCTCCTGTACTTGTGCTCCCCCAACCTGTGGGGGAGCAGAGAGAGGTGATGAGGAGTGGCTTCAAGACAAGAATTGAAGTCTATGGAGGAGGGAAGGCAGGCCTTATTGCCTGTGCTGTGCAGAGGTCCCCCTTGTCCATTCTCAGTCCCTGGTGTTCAATGCACATAAGGGTGCTGGATTTCTGTCCTCAGCCCTGGCTGCTGTGGGGGCTGTGGATTTCCCTTGAGTAGGTGCACAGTGAGGTCAGGAAGGGAGCAGCTGGTCTGTGCTAAGTGTTGTCCTGCCAGGGTTTGGGGGTCTCTGACCTTTAACTCTTTCCTGTGCTGGTTCATTCTGGTGCTGACTGGTATGCATCCAGGTTCCCTCACTCAGTTTCCATGGGCAGTTTTGGTGCAGCGTGAGGGAGATCCCACAAGAAGGGGATCGCACAGCCTCACACTTAGACACCTGCTCCATGGCCACTGCTGGGGCTGGTTGTGGGCAATGGGGATGTGCTGATAGGTTTTTTTATCTCTCGCTCAAGGAAGTCCCATGCAGTGCCTGTGACTCATCACCAGGGAGTTTGCTTCTCTGACCCCCAGAGCTGTAAGGATTTCCTTGACCCCAAGCTCCATATAAGAGCAGGTCTCCTGTGTGGTAATGTCTGCTCAAAGTGAGATGGGGATGGCAAGTGTTAATGTGAATGTAAATTTTCCCAAGTTCACATGGGAGCATATGGCTGGAAGGAAACCAGGTGTGTTTTTGCCTAGGCTGGGAGTGTCAAACTTCCAAAGACCCCATGGCCAGGGGACTTATATGGGATGGCCAGCCCCCGATTTGCATCTCCCTTACCCTATAAGCAGCATTGCTGCTTTCTCCTCATGATGGGAACAGATTGTGCTGGGCTGTGAACTGAGAAATCCAGGCCCTCCTATCCAGTGCACTGGAGCAGCTGCCACACAAGGCCTCATGGCACTTACTGTACTTTTGGTGCAGTGACCTGACTGCCTTCTCTCCCCCTATACTTCATACAAAACCCCACAGCCAGGTCAGTTAGTAGATTCATTTCATTCAATGGGGTGGAGGGGAGAGGAAATTAGGGGATGGGATTGTTGAGAGGGGAAGTGGTTGCAGGTGGTTCCTGTATAGCATCTAGTGGGGGCACAATGCACAGCTGGGGGTGAGATTTTTCTGAGGGTGTGAGGGGCCCATCTCCAGCTCAAGGGCAGCTCCCAAATGCCTTTAGGCTGCTTGAGAAGTGAAGTTCAAAAGTGAAGCTGTTTGGAAAGCAGGAGCAGAGTTTGGGATGTTTCTCTTGGCTCAGACTGTCTTTAAGCCCAGGCTGTGAGTGCTGCTGCCTCTTATTCTGGATGCTGTGTGGCAGGGTGGATGACAGCCAAATAATTCGGGCATGAGATGCTTCTCTTTGTTGCAGTTGGTCACTGCAGGGTGCTGGGGTTATTTTCCAGCTGTCTCTGCTGAGCCATCCATGCTGGGCTCAGGCAGGTATCGTGGGTGCGGTGGGTGTCGTGTGTCCTCTTCAGCACAGCCACAAAGGAGTTGGAGGATCTGGCTGGAGCTGGCAGCTGCCGGGGTGAGCTAGGTGGGCTGGTAACTGGTGCTGTGGATGTCAGTGAAGTCATCCATGGCAAATCAGAGCCGTCTTAGCCTCTGATCCTGTTTGGGTTCATGGGAAGGCTGTTGCCTGGAGGAATGTCAAGGTCTGACTGGTAGCTGGGCTGTCAATTGAGCTCACCAGGATCAGTGGCAACTCCTTTATTTCCATTGATTTTTAGACAGCTGAGCTGTGACATTTTCTTTAAAAATCCACTCATGCCCCTCTCCTGCCTTTTTTTAACCCGGTGGTGTAAGGTGAAAGACTTGCAAGTAGAAGGGATTTATACCTCGTGATTCCCCTAAGATATCTCTGCCTCCTCCACAGGCAATATTTGTCTTAGGATCTAATAGGGAATTTGCTCTCAAAAAGGCTTGAAATGTGTGTAAGAGAATAGCTTCCCCTTGTTGTGCAGCCCCTGCCCTGCTCCGTGTCACTGTGTGTTTCCCTGGCACAGTAATATGTGGCAGTATCTGCAGCTGCCAGGGAGCGCAGCTGCAAGGAGAGCTGGTTTTTGGATGTGTCTGCAGAGATGGTGGTTTGGCTCTGGAGAGATGGGTTGTAGTATGTGCTCCCACCATATGGATGTATATACGCCACCCACTCCAGCCCTTTCTCAGCAGGCTGCCGGATCCAGTTCCACTCATAGCTGCTGTCAGCGATGGAGACGCCAGAGACCGTGCAGGTCAGGGTGAGGGTCTCTCCAGGCTTCGCCACTCCTGGGCCAGACTGCACCAGTGTCACTGCAGAGACGGCATCTGGGAAGAATAATAAGGCAGAGAGTGAGTTAGCCACTGAATGCATCCATTCCCCTGCTGTGATTGCTGCCCCCTGCCCCAGAGACCCTCACAGGTGAGACAGGAGAACAGGGCAAGGAGCAGCAGGGGCATCTCCATCCTGAGGGTCATAAGAAATGAGCCTCCCAGCAGGCAGGAGTGGGCAGGATAAAGGCAGGGCAGGGACTGAGGTTCTGGGGCTCAGGGGCTGTATTTAAGTAGGCAGCCTGGGAGGAGAGATTTGCATATGGGTCCTTAAGTGAGTACATGAGGTGCCAGGCTAGGAGAGTAGTATTCCCTGGGGGACCAGGGGAGAGGGGTGTGGGTGTCTGTAGGAGGGTAGTGTGGACACCTGGAAATCTCCTGAGGAACCAGGGACAGCTCTGGATGCCTGAGGGTTTTGGTCCTGAGCCCCAAGTGCTGAGGATTCCCTGGGAGTTGGATACAATGGGCTACATGAGCTCCTAAGATCTGCCAAGATGCCTGTCCTACCTATGTCTGCAGCAGGCTGTGTCAATGCCAGGAGTCCCTCCCTTGCCTGGGGCCCCCTGTGCTGCTCCTGCCCTTCCCTGGGGGTACTAGCTCCACTTGCTCCTGTCTCCCTGCAGGGGCCTGCCTACTTCTATCTTGGGAGTCTCCAGGGGGCTGGCTTGGGAGTGGAAGGAAGGTGCCCCCCTACTGCTCCTGCCTCATGTCACAGCCCTCAGGGCACCACACTCCTTCCAGTTTAGGGCATGGATAGGAGCCTAAGGTCTGAACCCTAATATGTCTATGTGGGAACCACTTGCTCTGGGCTGAGGCTAGGCCTGGGTATTGGAGATGGGTCAGGGAAAGCTGCAAATCAGCCAGTGAGTGTGCTGTGTTTCCCCCCACTCTAGCTGAATGACCCATGTTGGTCTTCTGGGCTGAGGCTAGGCCTGGGTATTGGAGATGGGTCAGGGAAAGCTGCAAATCAGCCAGTGAGTGTGCACGTGCATGTGTGTGTGCTGTGTTCCCCCCACTCTAGCTGAATGACCCTTGTTGGTCTGTGTTCTCAGGGGGTTTCTGTGTTTCTTGTTCAGCTGATGCTGAGTCCTCACTTGTCTTTGCAGTTGTGACCGGCTCCAGCTGTGCTTTGGGCTGCACAAACAAGGTCCTTCCCTAAGGAGCTTCTGCTGTGCCAGGAGGTGCTTAGGCAGCAAGCAGGCCTGATGTGGGGTAGAACAAGCCAAAGGGGAGGCCATGCAGGGGTGGGAGACATATCTTGGAGCCCGGTGGAGCTAGTGCTGGGGCTTCCTGGTAAGCCTGAGAAGCACCCAGGGGTTGGGGTTATTGCAGTGAGCCTGGGGTGAGCAGGAGACTTCATTGCTGTGCCTCCAGCCTCACTCAGATCATCTGGGGAATATGATGCCAAAGAGCTGCCTTTTTTTTTTTTAATCTAACAGGAAACATGCCATGATCAACATCATGGTTGTCCCCCGTTTAGGGGAGGCACCATGATGATGGTGTTGGTCCAGATGGTTTTACTGTACCCGGAAGGGAAGATCCCCTTCTTCCCAACTTTGAATAACTTATTGTTGTTGAGGGTGGAGGAACCCCCCTGCCCTCCGCTTCAAGACAGTTTACTATAGCCTCCCAATGGGAGGATCTCAGCTACACATTTTGTTGCAATGGGAGATTCCTTTGGACATTTTGTCTAGGTTACTCCTATGGTCTTTGGCTAGGGGCAAGTGAGAGTAGGGGGCACCTGAACCTCAAGGACTCCAGGCTTGGAGCCTGCATATAGGATGCCTGCCATGGGTTTGGGAGTATCTGTAGCCCCAGACTGAAAACTCTGGGAGGTAGGGTATTTGCAAGTGGTAGCACCTCACAGACCTGAGTGACTCGACTCTGCTCAGTCAACAGAATTCAGAACTAATGACAATTTTTACATGTGTATGTGATACAGTGCCAGGGGCTTTTGATTAGTGATCTGTACTAATTAAGAGCACCCGGCGCTGCGTCACACACATCGAAGGTGTTTTAGTTTCAAAGTGCGCTGCCACCATTTTCTCAGTGCTGATGTGCATTTTGCCATTTATACACTTGTGCACAATGCAGCATGAGGCATGTCAGTTTGCATGCTCCACGGACTTGATTAATTAACTGTTCTCTGATGCCAGTACATCAGCGCAGATATCTGTATAGATGCCTGATAAGCCTAATTTGTCCTGACGCACACAATTAAAAAAAATAAATAAAAAAGCCTTTTCATAAGGCATCTGCTAACCTTTTCTGTGCTTCCCCTGCTCTGCTCTGTGTCTGCCGTGGCACAATAATACATGGAGGTGTTTGCAGCTGTCAGGGAACACAGCTGCAGGGGGAATCTGGTTGTGGGATTTGTCTTCAGAGATGGTGGCTTGGCTCCGCAGGGTCAGGCTGTAGTAAGTGCTGCAGTCTACCTCCCCTGCCCACTCCATCCTTTTCCCCAAAGATAAGCCCAAAGTAGTACTTGGACTTCCACAGGGATGGTGAAAGTTATGGAACACCAGCCTATATAAAGGTTCCTGGTCCACGTCTCCATCCACTAGAGGCCTTTGCCAGGAGCCTGCCATTCCCAGTGCCAATAGTAGCTGCTGGTGATGGTGGTTCCAGACACAGTGCAGGTCAGGCTTGTGGCAGAAATGCCCCGTCGGTGCCCCTCTCCAGAGATCTGTCTCAGCCAGCCTGAGAGGCTGCTGTTGAATCCCTCACAGCGGGGATCTCGCTCCTTGTCTGCAGACAAAAGCCTGGCGCCTGGGAGGCGATGCTCTGGTCACCTGGGCAGGGGGGGGAAAGACCCGGCCCTGCGCGCGGGCCCAGGTAGCCAGGGATGCCATGCAGATTGGTTGGTTTGTAGCCAGTATTGGCAGCTTCGGTTGGACCGGGCTGCTGAGGTCAGAGAGGTTTTAAAAAGGCCTGGGCCAGGAAGAAGGGCAGCCATTAGCCATGCGGTCATCCAGGTGAATCTGAACGGGGTCTGCCCTCATCACTGCATGCTGCAAGAGTGCCCTGCCTCCAGAGGAAACAACAAGCACC